CCAACTATATTCATATACAGCCCTTGGAGACAGATTATGGAAAGGAAAACCATTACAAAGTCAGTAGCAGCAGCTATTCCCTTCCCTCCCCTGAGATTCAACGGTGGTTACTCACGTGTGCAGCTGGGGTACCCGTAGAAGCCCAGGGCACACTGATTGCAGGTGTGGCCCGCAAAATTCGCATGGCATCGGCACTGGCCAGCTGGGCTGCAGTTGTTGTCCACCGCACCCCGGGAATCGCAGGAACAAGCTGTAAGAGCAGGACTGTCAATAGTCTGATGAAACATGTGATCCATGGCCAACCACTGCTGGTCTGAATTGTCATTCAGCCCCACAGAAATTAGCCATTTCCATCAGAACTAAATTAATTTCTTAATCCCATGGAGAGACAGGGAATATTTTCAGCTAGAGTCATGGCCTTATCAGGAAAATGCCACTGAGGGTTTTTTACAGCCCATTCAATGTTCCTCAGCAGTTTAGTAAGTTAATGAACTAAAAAGACAAAAAAAGGCATAAGCTGAGACACCACGTCACAGCAGGGTTGTGATGAGGAAGTGTGACCGATAGAAACTGCTTTGTCTTCCAGGTTTTGGCATGATCCATGAACTCCAGAACAAGCCTGCCAAATTCACAGTGCAAACCACATGGGTTTTGACTTTGAGAAACATCAGTCTTGCAAAAATAGGCATGTTTTTCAGAAGGTGACAGACCAGCAGGAACTGAACATTAACGTCCTTACCGTAGCAGTGCGGGTAGGAGTGGTGCCCAGGGCTGCACTGCTCGCACCGCGGCCCAGCAAATTCAGGTCTGCAGAAACACCTCCCGACGGAGTCACAGCCTCCTGGCAGCGTCCCGACTGCGCTGCAGCCGCATACTGCAACAGAGAGAAAACATTTGCCCTGTGCTGGGAGCACGGGGCAAAGCTCATGGCCATATGGGTTTTTTTCTGAGGTTCTCAGATGGGCATTTAGGTGCTGCTCTAAGTGTTCAAACTGTTGATCTCTGCCCCTTGCATATATCCTCCAAAACGCCCACAAAACCACTTCCCAGTCCTCCTTCAAAACCCTGCCAGAAGACTCTGGCTTTGCACGTGCCCACCCAGGCCCATGGGAGGACTGATACGCACGCTGGCACAGAGGGTAGTTGAAGTAGCCAGGAGCGCACTGGTTACACAAGTGCCCTTCAAATCCTGTTCGACACAGACACTGCCCTGTCTCGCTGTCACAGGTGCCATCGTACTGACCGGGGCCGGAGCACTGGCAGGCTGGAAAACAACAAGGGCACTAGTAAATAAACAGCTTCTTAGTCTTTCCCCTTCCTAGGGAAGGAACCAGAGCGCCTGTTCCTCTGGGGTAGAAATGCAGTCTCTGGAGAAACTATGGAGGACGCAGCTGACAGCAAGCATGCCTAGCCCGCAGCTCACATCTATAGGGAATTTCTCAAGAGTTCCCCCAGGCCGGGAGGATGCTGGAGGGTCAGGGCTGGGTGGAAAATACCAGCAAAAGTCATGGGAATTTGTCACTTGGAAGTGGGGCGGGAGAATTCTTCCTCCCCAGTGCAAGCGGAGGACAGGGAGAGGCACGCTCCTCCCCAGCAGGGAGGTGAGCAGGGCAAGCTTGGGCCGCTAACCCCGAGTCACTCACGCTGGCAGCTGGGTCCGTAGTGGCCTGGAGCGCACTGGTCACAGTGTGTTCCCTGGAAGTTGGGTTTGCACACGCACATCCCCACCCGAGGGTCTTTGCGACAGGCATTGCCTTCCGTTCCACCAGCGTAGCAATCGCAGTCTGGAGCGGGGACACACAACAAGCAACACCACACACGGCTGTCAGCTGATCTCTGCCACTGGGCAAAGGTCCCATAAGGACAGGGAAGGAGTTGCCATGAGAGGCAACAGCTCAAGCATTTGCCTCCTAATAGCCTTCCTACCAGATGCAAATGTTTTAACCAAACCCTGCTCAGGCAACCAGCACGCCTGGCTCTTGGGGTTGCAGGGTGGCTGGGAGACCTCAGCATCACACAGATGTGCAAGGTGCTGGACAGGCAGCAGGACAATGCACAGGGCACACAAAGGCTGCTTGCACAAGCCCAGACAGGGCTGATTTTGTGCAGCACTGCCCAGGAGTTGTGCAGGAATAACCAAAGCTTTCAGCTAACCAGGGTGGGGTTTGGGGTTTCTCTCTGGTCACTCCATGCTCAGCTGCATCCGAGACCTTCCTGCTGCCAGGGCAGGCGGGTGCTCCAGACCAGCAGTGCTGAGGCCCTCAGCCAGCCCTGCCTTCACCGACAGCAGCAGTGTGGGGTGCTGGACTGGGAGAGGAAAGGCGAAAAATCACCCAAGAACCAGAGGGTAGCGGAGGCGGGGAAATGAGAAGGGAAGTGAGAAATTCCATCTCAGGAAAGAAAAACCTATTTGTAAGATACAGAGTTTAAAATATCAGAAGGAAGGAAAAGGTTATCTGGAGCGCACTGGAGAGCATGAGACAGGGGAGGACTCGGTGGGAAAAGAGATGAAAAAAAAGCACAAGGGAGGAAATGAACCGAGAAGAGAGAGCATCAGAGAAGAGGGAGGCGGAGGGGAGCAGGGATGACGGCACAGGAGAGCTTTCAAAACAACAGAGAAAGCGACACAGAGCGAGCGGCTGTCTGTGCATGCTTCCCAGGGGCCTGCAGCCGTGCTACCCGCGGCTTTATGCAGAGGGGGACATTGGCACGGACCCGCTGTGCTGTCCACCACACAGAAAACGCAGGGCATGCAGGTGTGGCTGAAGGACAGGTTTGTATCTAAACCCAGAAGCTGAGATTTGGGAGAACCCAGCTTGGGTTCCAGCTCAGCCACAGCCCCTCTGTGGTCTTGGGGGGTTCCTTAAAGGGAGGCCAGTAGGGACGTACCCACATGGCCTGGACCCCAGAAAAAAGCACACAATCACACGGTCACTCTGGGCTAGAGTTTCCCTGTCTATAAAAAGGAAATCATTAAAACTTCCTTTCCCCCACCCCTCAGCTGCCTCCTCCCTCAGAACCACTCTGTGTCAGGGCTGTCTCTTACAACATATGTGCCCAGTAAGCTGAAGACTTGATCTTGCATTGGGTGGTGAGATATAACAGCAATAATAGCATGGTGATTGCCAGAGCAAGGAAAATTGCACTGCTTACTTATTATCTGTCCCGCAGGGAGCACTTGTTCTCCAGTATCGTTGTGAGCGAAAGCTGGAACGGCTACGCAGAGAAAGAGACATTGCACAGGTCATCACACACGCTCAAAGAAATTCTGTTGGGATACCAATGGGTTGACAGTCCCAAAGCTGAACAGGCTGAATGAAAACATGGAACATGGAACAAAGTGCAGACATCCCACTAAACAAAGATCCATTACAACCATTTTTAACCCGGGCTCTGGAAAGATGTCTTTCACAGAAAATGAGAGATGAGACTCCAGCCAAATGGGAAGCTCCCATTGACTCCAGAGACCCAGGTTCAGCCCAGCTCAGCTCTGGTCCAGCTTCCACCGAAGCCAAACACAGGCTTGTTCCCACCTGCAGGAACTCTTCCTGGGACAGGATTGCCATGTGGCATGGGGAAAAGGCACCTGGAGAACAGCCCCAGCTGGAGCTGTTGGCCCTTCCTGCACTGCTGGGTCTGTGGAGTCCCAGACCTGGCCACCCCACAGCCCTGCAACCCCCACTTACGGTAGCAGTGGGGGAAGTTGAGGTATCCCTCAGCACAGGCATCACAGTGCTCCCCAGTATAATTGGGCTTGCAGTAACAGCGGCCAGTGAGGTCCTCGCAGGTGCCATCGGTGAAGTCAGACTCACAGTTACAGCCTGCAGAAAGGGACAAGCCAGCAGTGGTTGTCACTAACTGAGACCCTTGGCCAGGCATGAGCACCACGGAAGCATCACTACGACACAGAGCCTCTATAAGAGACCCCACCATCTGCTGTAAATTCTCTGCAAACATAAAAAGTGCAATTTTGCCTCTTCAAAAGACGTCTGGCTTAGAGGAACTGCTTCCACTGTGCTTGTCCCACTGCAGGGTCCCAAGTAAAGCAGCACAGCCCCAACTTGCTTCTCCAGGAGACCCCAGTTTCCCCGGAGACATGGCGGTGGCACACTGCCGCGAGGACGCAATACAGAACAGCTGATGTGTCACAGCTACCAGAATGAGCTGGGCTCCCCAGCAAGATGGATATAACCCACTGCTGCCTAGAAATCCCTGTCTTAGGGCAAGGGGAGCAATGGTCTGCATGTGCTAGCTGAAAGGGCACAGAGATGGCAGCTAAGGCTGGATTGCCCTACAGGCAACAGCAGAGGTAACAACACATTTTTAGCTCATTCCAGCCTTAGAACATGCCACCACTTCTGATTTCACAGATGCTGCAGACACACATACTATCTGCATGTACAGATGGCTGCATGCACACATACATTTCTATGGGCAATGCCAACTGCAGCAGGAACCGCCCACATAGCCACATGTCTTACGGTGCTGGACTCCCTACACCAGAAAAATCTCTCAGCCCAATCTTTCAGACCACCTTCCCCAGCGTCATTGAGTCCAAGCAGGCATCTACAGCCTGCAGAGGAAATCACACTCACGATAGCAAATGTATGGAGAGTCGATCGGGTGGTCGGGGGACCGGTAGTATCCTGGGATGCACCTCTCACAGTTAATGCCAGTGGTGTGATGCTGAAAGACAGTGGGTTAGAAGGGCATCAGTTCCTCCGCCTGCAGGATTCCTGTTCATCTGCCAGATTTACTAACAGCTTCAGGGTCCAGAGGGAGCAACTCAGAAGTGTCAGCACACAGAAGACCTAAATCTGCTCAAAATTCCACATACACTGATTTGAAAACAAAGCATTTCCTTCAAACTGTGTATCCTCCCATAAGCCCAGTCTGAGTTTCAGGTTCACATCTGACCTCAAGCCCATTTCACTTGCTTCAGACAGCAAAATGTCCTGACCACTTTGTGCTAGGAGGACGGGAGCAATCCGTTTCCTCCCAGCAAAAAAGCACAGCTAGAAGTCACTCCAGTTTCATGTCACTGCATGAATTAACCAGCTCACAGTCACCTTGGGAGTGGAAGATCTACTTTCCCACTTTCATTGGGAAGTTTAGAGGCTAAGGAGATTGGCATTTTGGTGGTCAGAGAGAGATCCAGAGAGATGGCAGCACCTGAACACTGCAAACTGGGTAGGGACTTCCCAATGTGCTCAGCACCAACCTGTCACTCCCAATGCACAAGTGCCTCAGCAGACCTAACCCTAAAGCATCAGAAAGGTAATGGTACTACCCAGGGGACAGCTAGGAACCCAAGTGCTGTTTTCATTACTGGCACACACTCCTTTAATCTATGGCAAAGAGACTATATTTCCAGGGAGAGACCTAATTAAGATAACAGAGGGTGTGTGATGGGGTTGGTGGAGCTGCCAGCAAGGCTGAACTCTAGGGTGACAGCAGAAACAAACACAAGAATCTGCAACAGCCTTTTCCGCAGGAGCCCTTCAGGCCTACCTGACAGTCAATGCAAACACCTCCCCCTTCAAACTTGTCTTCGTGACTTTTGCTGGCTTTGTGGTAATCCACCTCTGGGTCATAGTAGCAGTCGTAGGCATGGCCGTTGCAATTGCAAGCTGAAAATACAAAGAGATGTTAGCTAAGCCGCAAGTCCACAGAGGTCCTTCAGTCACCAGCTGGTTCTCAAGATATGAACTCTTCCTCGTGGGTTTGACATTGGATGGGCTACATTTCAATGAGGAAAGATGCTCAAATGCATCTGGGGGATTACACGATCACCCAAGCTCCCAGAAGTCTGCCAGTGCAAAAGCACAGAAGCAGCAACTCTCTCACAGTCTAGTCTGCAACCAAAAAAACACAGCAGGCACAAAATCAGAAGTAAAATATGTGCAAGCGTGTAGAGACGAGAAAGAGAAATTACCCAACTTTGGGGCCTCAAGTAGTCTGGTTTAGAGGGCAATGTTCTCGCCTCTTTTATCCCATCCGGGATGGAGGTGAGCTGTGAAGTTCAGCACATGGTGAGGGTGCTCTTTATAAACCCACAGGATTAAGATCCAACTGTCCTTTGCTGCCCTGTGTTCATAAGAGATTGTGTGATATAGCTGTGCTCCAAGCTCTGCATTCCCAGTGCAGCATAAATTCCACTGTCGGCATTTACCAAAGGTTTCTCTAGACAAATAAAGATGTCCTGTATGTAAACACATCCAAATGTAAGTCATCTTGGAGACAGAATTGAGCAATGAGACTTGCCTGCATGAACCCTTGGACACGGAGGAGGAACTGGAACATAAGCAGAATCAAAGTCCCCATACAGACCTAGTGGGCCTCCCTGTGCGAGCCTTGACTGAGCACAATTAACCACTGTGCAAACTGTCCTCTCTGCAGTGCCAGCGATCTCCACTTCACCCAGTGCCACGCACCATAAAACCAACCATTTTGGTGCATGGTTCCTCTACACTGCAACATCAAGGGGCTGGTGAAACGTAGTCAATCTGTGCTTTGCAAAACAGCTGGAACAGGAAGGAAAAACCCAACTCCAACTTACGCTGGCATTCATTTGCGCTATCAGCAGTGGCGGGCTTCCATGGGAACTGGTTGAAGCCAGGGCAGCAGCGATCGCAGGACCCACCGCAGGTGTTGTGCTGGCAGTCACACTGCAGCCTGCAAGGGAGAGGAACGAGGTACAGCCAAGCCTGTGGTGATGACGGTAATGTGTGGGATGGGGAGCCGCCACATAACCCTGCTGTGCATAACTATCACTAGTCAGATACACAAATGAGTGATATTTGTTAATCCAAATATTCAGAAAAAGAGGCTTCTAAGGCTTTTTTTTTAATTTTTGAATTGCTGTTATTTTTTTTCTGAGCCAAACACCAAACTTTGCTCTTCCAGTGCCAGCACTCTTCCAGCTCTACAGACAATAAAATGTGAAATGGTTGGAGGTGGCAGTGGTAGAAACCTGAGCTGAAGTAAATTAATTGAGAGGGAGCTGCGTGGTGCAGGGACATAAAGATGTCCGCACCACTGTGCAGGGGCAGCGTGAAAGGAATAAACGATAGCCCAGAGCCAGAGAGGGATGGGGCCACACGGGTCCCATCTGCTCCTCCAGGTATACCTGTGCTTGCAGCCATGAAATTTGAATTAAGTCTTTTAGCAGATGCTGGCCCCATGCTCCCTGTGAAATGCACCTCCTGCTTTTCTCAGCCGGCACAGGCAGGGCTGTGCTGGGTAAACAGGCGGCTCCAGAGGCGCCAGGCAAGAAATCTCGACGGTCAACCGACGGATCTCGTCCCTGCTCGACCGCAACGGTGATTCATTAACATCAGTGACATCATCTCCAAAACTTCCACTTAGCAGAAGGCAATTCCCATCCAACACAAACGCTTTCTGTTGTATTAGACTTATGGATAATACAGCATGTTCCAGCTTTTATCTGTGCAATTACTCATTTCCCCTCAGGGCTGGTCTGCCACTCCCATCTCTCCCTCCTCCAATGCTTTTCCATTCAAAAGCAGTGTTTAAAAATAAATGTAATTTTTTAAAACATTAGAAACAAATGGAGCAGTCATTCTGGGTGAAATGCAGGGGTGCAGACAGACTCTTCCATGGCTGCAGTGAAGCGAGTGTTATGGTTTCCACCTACATGTATTTTTAAGATGTGGGACCTGCAAGTGTATGTATAGTGAATAGCCAGACAGAGGCAGGAGCATGGGACAAGTGAACTCATTTTAATGAAATATGGGATGATCTGAAAGTTCAGGGGAATGTGGGCAGGATCCACACTCAGCATGTTTGCTTCAGCCAGAGGGGTTGAGAGGCAGGAGGTCCCGGCCCTGCTCCCAGCCCTGCTGGCAGTCCTCCCCTTGCAGATGCCATGAAATGCTTGGCCAGTCAGCTCTCTGAGCACTCGTGATGCCCTGTCCCTACCCACATCCACAGGCTGGGCTGTGGCCGGCAGAGTCCAGGCACAAAACCAAGCCCCTGAGAGGTTGGCTTAAGCCTAAGTGGCAGAAATGAGCCCTGAAACATTCACCAGGAACTTTGTTCTCCCCGTGTTTTGCAGACCCAAGGCGGAGACTCAATGAAAGGCAAACCTTGGCCATGCCTCTGTAATGAAACCACCCGCAGACCTCTCATGTGGCTGACTACCACTCAGCACTTCCAAGGAAACAAAATTTTACGTTTTTTTTCCATGGCAGCAGCTGGAGATCAAGATTAACATCCATATACATACGTGTGGAGAAAGACGGTCACTGAGTCGGGGAACTTATAAACCTGCTGAGCATTGTTAAGCTCCCTAGCTGGAGGACGTGGCTCCAGCCATACACCCCAGCTCTTTAATGTTCAAGATGTTTGAAAAGCACTGGTTCCGTTCCCAGAATGCAAAATGATGGCTCTCAATGAGTAAAGATGCACATTTCAGACGGAGAAGGAGCTATTTATTTAGTCTCTGCTGTCTAGTGTTAGCAACGACCTCTCAGAGGGCTCAACTATCATAGCAGCTTTACCACACCTCATGCCGAGTCTGTGCTACTAATGAATTATGGACAAATGTGCATAAGCTACAATATTTACACGTTTCATTGATTGAATATATACAAGGAAGAAGAGGGAGAGGCTGTGTTCACATAGCACATATTTCCTGGTTGTCCTGCCATAAAAAATAAAACCACCATCTTCCCACTGGAATTGATGATCAATAACAAAGACTATAAACAGTTCCCAGTGAGCAGCTGTGTCAGAGCTGACAACAGCACACAAGTGCTACAGCATCTGGATTTGGCCGGGACATCTGAGTAGCACAATCAAGAAAAAAAAGCCCTTTCCTCTAACTGCTTCTGACTGTACTAAGGGAAAACCACCTGCAAAAGGGACTCACAGACGGCACAAATCTACCAGCACACATGGTGCTTCCCTTTCCAAAATGGGAAAGAGCAAGCTAGCATTCAGGATCCAGCAGTGGGAAAGCATCCTTGATCTCCTCCTGCAGATCTGCTTCTGACCAGCCAGGCTGCTGTTGTCTTGCTGGTTATCTTCAGCATCAGGCACAGAAGCAGCAGCTGGACTCTCTGGTTGTCTCCTGTCTTGCTTGTGGCATCCGTGATGGGGCAGTGAACCCACAGAAACAGTTGCTCTTATCAGACACATGCAGAGCACTTGCAGGGTTCTCCTGAGCTCACGTCAACAGCAGCCGTATGTTAACACACGATTCCTGTCTGGGCTCTCTGTCTGCAATGTGCCAGGTCCACACGGATGCTTATCTCACTGCTCACAGGGTTTGCCAGGAGAAAGGTTTGTGCCTGATCTTGCTGGTGTTCACCTTTAACCAGGAGAACTTTCCGTCCCTCTGCTTAATTCAGCCCATTCGATCTTGGGGCAAAGAGAGACAGCTGTGAAAAGTGCAAAGGACCCTCGAGGAGGCTGTGTCTGCCCACACACTGTAGGCCCTTGCACGTACACACTCACACAGGGACCAGACGTGCTGCCAACTTAACACAGCTGGATGTGCAGCCTCTGTAACTTGGCACTTCAGAGAAACTTTCCAAAGCTGGATAAACATTATCATTTATGGCCAGGAAGTCAGCTCACGAACATGCTCCATCACGTCCTAAAGTCTTTGCCAAGATTTCTAGCTCACCTCACCTCTATCAAAGTGCTCATCCTGTCTTTCTGGGCAACAGGCACAAGAAATACAGGCATGTGCAGAAGAGAAAAGTTAAAATGAGAAGCAGAGACCTCCCAGACAGGCTGAGACATAACTGGGATTTTTAATAGGGCTGGGCCAATTCACATTCTTTGTCTCTCTCTATTTGCATTTCCTTGCCCTGTTGCTGTCACACATCAGCATCTGAAGAGGCAGGGTATGTGCAGGGGGACACACCGCACCTCCTACTGAGACGGGTTGCACAGATTTCTGAAGGAATGATACGTTTCTGACAGCTGGCACCCATGACACGAAGGGACAGTGTGTCCAAGCCCCAGCTGCCTCTGCGATGCCTCTTGTCATGCAGCATTACGGCAGGTATCGTCGTGCTGGCTCCGTGCTACATCAGGGCAGCAGGGGTGGG